GTTCATCAGTGATTTTCGTGGTTTCGGAGAGTGATGATTAAATTTAATAACATATGCTTGCTTTACATTACTAAACTGTTTTAATTCTATCATTTCTATTATTTTGAGCAAGGACAAGGTCCTGTACCGGGACATTGTCGCTCGGTCCCATAGACGTCCATGCATTGAGACGAATAGATCGTCAGGCCCCTGTGGTTATACGTTCAGACTCTGAGTTGGTTGCCCAACCAGTCAGCTGGCGTGTGTACGTATTAACGTCAACTCTCAGTGAAAAGGCCATTGTTTTAATATGGATGGACTTTGATTGATCATTAGAAACTGTCGGCATTTTTTTTTGGAGGGGGAGGTGCATTCTCCTTCCCAGAGTTCCTTGCGGTTAGATCACCGAAAGTACTAGTATCTCTGCCACCACACACCGCCATTTTGTGGTGAAACACCACAAGACTTTTACTACGCGTATTATTTGCGTATTTTTGTTATTAGAGGGATCTAGTGTTGATTTATTACTACTGGAAAACAAGCTTTAAAATATTTTATCGATAGCTGATAACGATATTTCCGTAAATGCACTGTCAAGGGTGAAATAGTTATAATTTACAGAAGAAAATAATTTCATGCGGCGGAATAACTGTTGCTAAGGTGTTAGTCGGTTCATCAAGCTGACGGCCCTGTCGATCGCTAGGCGAAGACTATGAAGAAAGGAAAGCACTTCGTGGTATTGACAGCGAACACGTTCTATTGCCACTCCGTTTGTGCTAAGGAAAGTAAAAGTATGAGCTTCTCACTGTGAAAACAGCCAAAATCCACAAACAACGCGCACGCTTTCGTTGGGTTCGAAAATCGAACACCTGCATTGCAATGGTTTGGTGCGCGTTTTTGAAAGTCGTACCACTGTGATGCATTGACCAATCAACGACAAGCATAAGATCGCGTGGTGGCAGAGATATATTCGTGATAGAACTCTGCCTGGGGAGATTGGGGGAGGTGGTCACCCAGAAAACAAAACAACACACACGTTTGATAGAAGAGAGATAACAGCAAAATATTCATCATTACGAATATAAAAAAAAAATATTGTTTACACACAAAAAAAACTTGCTATCTTACATTCCAGCGTACTAGACATAATATACTGTGAACGTATTATTTATTCGGCTATTTTTCACTCAAAAAAATGAATTCCGTGTATTAGCTATACCGGACTGGGCAAAATTTTGGTTGTTGTTAGAGATGTAGTTGTAAAATACGTCACGTATAGCTGTTATGGGGACCTCAATCGGAAGACACGTATCCGGGGGGGGGGGGGGTTGGTTATAGAACTTGCCTAATGGGGACGTGCCCCTAAAATGGGTCTCGTTTTTTTTGAATTTTAGGTATAAGTTTCGGACTTATTTCTGGTCAAGACAAAAATTTTCCGATTTGGTATACTTATGGGTCCGTATATAAGCAAATATCTCCACCTCAGATCCCGGCCTCAGATCCATATATACATTAACCCGGAAATTAAACAAGGCAATCAACATTTAAACGGAGATTTAACACGGAGTAGAAGAGGGCGCGCATTCTTCAGTGAAACCTGCTTCTATTGGAGATGCTCTTCTAATAGAGCAAATATTTCCAATAAACAGAAATGGTACTTTGGCATAAATATGGGTATAGATTTTGTCACTATCAAGGTATAAAAATGGTCACACTTTTGAGCACTCAGGGGCATCTCCCAACCAAGCTATGTATCAACTGCCCCCCCCGTATGTTGTTAGCAAATTGGTCGCTAAGCAATGACGACAACGACGACCGCTCCCGACATCTCATACCAATACGTAAAACTTCACCATACTGCACTTTTATGGACGAGAATTCCATACAAATATTATATCACTACTGCCTTTGTACTGAGCGTTCGTTTTAGAGTGAATCAACTAGCATTCAATACAACCATAACACATCAAGACAATTGAAGGTTAGGTAACACTTGCCAACTTTTCTAAAATAACATGGACTTTAAAACTGGTACAATTAAACGTCTTCGGTGCCCTAGACCCCTGGATGACCACAAACCATGGTCCTTGTGATACTGACGGCTCATATACTTGACAGTATGAGCAAACCCTCGTACTGATCGATTAACTCGTACTGATCGATTAACTCGTACTGATCGATTAACAGTAAAGTTCACAAGCCTGGTCGTTAACTTGAACTCGAACTTTGTACAAATGCCAGAAACGTACTTGTGTTGCAAATAAATGTTTCTGTTTCGCTGAATTTAAAGATCGTCACACTAAGGAACCCTGGCGTTTCCAAGTGTCACGCTCATTAGTCCCACTTACCAGGTTCCAGACAGTCAGTATTTTATAACGCCCTCCGAAACTTTGCGGCAATACGCCTGACCGATAGAGCGAGGTGTCGTAACGCAATGAAACAAAATCTAACCAAAATAAACTGCAATGAAATACAACTTGCGCTCGTGTCATGTCAGCCAATATAGAAGTCAAATATAGGGTATATAGACTGGAATGCATCGGTTTAAAAATAAACTTGTTGTACCCGTTGCTTATACAGTATAAGCTATTTATAGCGATATGTACTGGCTTAAAGCACGTGAGTGTAACATGCGCGACGTATTTCTCCGTTCCGTACTTGAAATAACTGGGGGGAAAAAACAATATTTTGTTTCTTTAATAGTTTCCTTGAAATTCCTTGAGAGAATTTGATCGTATAAGTTGCGCTTTAGTGACGTTGGCAGTCGTCAGAGGGCGCAACTCAGCAACCTTCCCAGGTTAGCCTAATTTTTCGTCCAGGTTACGCAAACCCAAAACACAAGATACATACGTTTTACACGTTTAGGATTCGCGAAATTCTAGGATTCTAGACTGAGATAACGTGGTCGGCCATTTTAAAGACTTACCATGTTCCAGATAGTGAGAAACTTTGCATTCCCACCAAAACTTCGCGGTCCGACAGCTCTCATCATGTCGTCAGCCAGGATTGTCATGTCGTAATAAATACCAAAGGCGTATATGACAAAGATGGAAGTATGGGAAAGAAAACGGAAAATATACTCGGACGCCATGGTGGAAATCACGCTGACCCTCTGAGGTGCAATGTCGATCTGTGCAGGTGATTAAAATATTGTTTTTTCCCCGACCTTTGGTCGCTCCATGCGGGTACAATATTTTGACCCGAGCTAATCTATGTAAATTATCTGGTCATTTCTCCAATCTGATCAAAATTCGATTATAGTATAGGCTCAATTTATGTATATTTTTTTTTTCAATTTCCATATTTTATTCATTGTCTAGCTGCATGGCGACTGTTGCTACATCTGAGTGCGTACACTAGACGTAGGGACTTCAACTCGCTTGGCAGATAACACTTACACTCGAGAGGCACTGTAATCGACCCAAAAAAACGCACGCCAGAGGTTTCTCACAGATAGTGTAGCATTTATTTCATAACCGACCCACCACAATGGTCGCAAACTAGCCCGCCAACCCTCCGTCTCCGGCCGGGTTACCAACAATAATACATTTATCTTTATGACATCGCGTGACGACGGTGACGCGCTGCGTGACGACGGTGACGCGCTGCGTGTCGACTATGGCGTTTCTGTAGTATTTAATGAGAAGTTTACATTTCTCCAATTTACCATAGCCATGTCTGAAATATATTGTATGGAGTATATGTATTAGTAGATAAGGAGGAAACGTATGTTATTGACTTAATGTTTCCAAGGAGTGCATTTTCACTTAAACTGTAGAATAAGAATACAACAATAGTGAACCGCGACGCAACCAGCGTAACTGACAAGTACCACATTTGCACATGCGCAAAACAGCAAACACCTTTGGGGTGAATCAAGATGGATGTATGTGGTCAGAACCTACAGGGCAACGAAGTCCGGAACAAGCATTCATCTCTTGACACTTCTCATCACCGATATTGAAAATAATATAATTACAGGCATATTACGTAACAAATGATATTTCAACTCACGATCACAACATTCAGAGTCGTCTATGAATATCTGTTTTTCGTACAGAGAGTTACAGCATGTCCAGTTGAGGGCGGCCAAGCAACTTTCCGTCTATCGGCAGCTGGATGTGTGCTGCCGAGGTCCGATAGCATATACGACAACAATGGTGTGGAATAGGTAATGCAAAACGAACACCATGTCTGCGACCTACTTGCCTCGATTATCCGCATCCATGACCGCATGATGAAGTTTTTGCTAGACTTTGTTCATTACGTATAAAGTACATTGACACCTACGTACATTATGTAATCTCGTTCCCTGTGATAAAACATTGATATCGTAAATAGATGGGTGCGATCCCAGCTAAAATAGATTTACGTCGTCCATGAAAGGTACTAACGGACGTTAGTACTTTCCATGCTTCGTCTCACCATCTCACGTTTATTTGTTTTCCTTTTGTTGAGTCTGTTGACATGAGTTGTTCGATGGTACTTACATTTTTTTCTCAATTTTATCATTATTTTGTTCGTATATTTTTAATAATTTTTGGTTCGTCATTATAATATGGTCATTCGTACAGTCATTGTTTAATTTTTTCCAATAATTTCCTGCGCACCCTTTTAAATTTAATGTTTTCAGTCACGGTGAATTTACCTACATAAGTTTCACGAAACATGCCTGCCCAGAATATATTAGGAGTACGTTTTTCTTTACTCTGTGTTCCGTAGTGACTTTCCCCCCTCCCCTCCCGGGGAATTACAGTTCAAAATATTGCCTTTAGAATTCAAACTAAGCGTGAGTGCCACGTGATATTGGGGGGGGGGGGGTCTTTTATCGACTTACCAGGTTCCAGCTAGTAAGAAATTTTGCATTTCCACAAAAACTAGGGGGTCCGACAATCTTCCTTAAATTGCCAGCTATCGTAGTAGAGTTGTAATGAATCCCGCTAACGTATATGACAACGATGCAAATGTGAACGAGAAGACGCCAAATATACGCCATTCTGAAAACTGACTGTGCCAATTGAACTGAACAGTGAACAGTTCGACCTTTGCCCAGATAACAATACACAGAGGCGGCGGCACGAATTTTAACATGGGGGGGGGGGGTCTGCTCACTAACTTTGCGTCGAAGGCGCGACCTTACTATGTGGTCTGGGGGCATCCGCCCTCTCAAACATTTTGAAATATAGACCCTAAAAAACGCAATTTCCTGTATTTTGAGGGGCTGACACAAAGGGTTTCAGCGTGATTTTGAGGGGCGACCACCCAACATTTTTTTCGGGCAGTCACCCCTCTGCACCCTGTACCGCCGCCACTGGTACAATCATATACACCGTCGGCGCATCCTCTACTGTATGAGCGCCACCTAGAGCAAAAAAATGAATTGTATGTTAAATCACCAAATATCTAAATTAAAAGCCTCCGTCAGTCTGAACTTGAAAGGCTCTATTTCATATTTGTTAGACGAGTTATCGAGGTATACCCTGACTCGCGATTATCGTTTGTTTAATATTCGAATCATAACGGTGCGACGAATGGGAGAGCAGGAAAGATACAGTGAACAGATTGTTGTGTTGGAGCAAAGACTATAGAGTCTATATAGTCTTTGGTTTGGAGGTATCAACACCGACCCGGCTTATTGTAAACGAAGAAACGAAACGAAACGACCCCTGAGCTGCCAGGAAATTAATATTGATGGGAACGGCGGATTGATATACTTCTCCGCGATCGAGGTGAAAATGACATACATATATTGTTGCTTTCTGGTACACATTCAGAGTGTAGTCAGCATAAACGTCAGTTTATAGCTCCGGCAAAGGGTTAAACAACAACTGCAACGTACTCACCAAATTCCAAAAAGTCAGGAATTGCCAAGCGCCCCCAAATCGGTGCGCACTGGGCATTTTAGGGTTGACATAGGTAGCACGGTACATGTAAGATAAAATGTAAATTACAAACACCGCCAAGTGAATACAAATCAGAGAGGGATTCATCGCAACGGAACCACGGTGGCACGATATTTAAAGCCCAATACACGTACTTCCAGGTTTGTGACCTATGACATGTTGACCTTTGACATGAAAGACAAAAACATTTGAATCACTGATCTGTTTTGAAATCATGATCTTCACGCGAGCACGGTTACTAAAAAAATCTTTTTTAGTAACCGTGACGCGAGGGACCACTCCATCCCGGAACATGCCAGATATATACGGTGGCGCAACACATAGGAATGCAGTTGGGGATTGGGATTTGTTCGTCTTCAAAAGCTCAGATCCGTCCCATTTTATAAATTGGCGAATCTCAGAACTGCATTTATTATGGGTGGAAATACACGATATGACATCATATGACATCACATACAACAATTATTATGGCCCTTAACATTTATCGAAATTGTTACATTTGTCTATTAATTCGGAATAAGAAAAAAAACAGCAAACTGAAAACCTTATATATATATATTTTTTATATAAATATGTCTTTTTTGAAAAAAATAAATAAATAAACAGCACGTTTTCATATCATTTACGATTCCAAAATCGTGTTTGTGCAGCCACCCCACCTCAAAAATGTCAAGAGTTTGTATAACCATTCATAATGCCAGTCTCATTGTCGGTGACCCGAAACAAACGTTCCTTGGCCGGCGAAGATAATGCGCGGCATAGTGCGAGGCATAGTGACGACTAATGCCGTGAAATCGCGCCCTCTAGCGTACATGAGCGAGGCCCCTATAACATTGTATGCATTATTGGTAGTAGGCATTTCCCGGGCACTTTAAAGGGATGATATATAACAGAATTAATAGTTTCTTTTGAACAGGAACGGGTATTTTTATTTCTTTTTCTAGCTCGTTGTTCAAACTTTGACGACGATCATTTTCTTCATGAAAAACCAACCAACTTGAGGATAGTTACACATACTGACATATTGAAACACTTGTTGTTTTTATGCCCAATATACTTTGTGAATTTCTGATCTATACTTACCAGATTCCAAAATGTTATCATTTTCAACTTTCCAAACCCTGATCTAAAACGCTTTCTCAATCTTGGCGACTGTGTGCTAAGATTAATGGAGAGATCGTAATAATACGCATACAGATATACAACGATTACAGTCAGGTGAAACAACAAGGAAGACCAACGAGTCGCCATATTGTCGCTTGAAGGGCACGTGCAGGCAGGGCAAAGGCCATTGATTTCAGTGTAAGCTTATCTGGTTCGGGATCTCCGTATAGAAATCATGTTGGTTGGAAATATAATTGAACTTTCCGTCTTCTATGCTAAACGACATGACATAAAATGAAAGATGATTTTAAATACGAATAATATGAATTTCGAATTCATGAATAATTCCTACCCAGACTACTACATTTTACCACAGTCCCTCTATAGATAGAGGGACTGTGATTTTACGTTAGAGATGACGTCAAATCGGCAAAACAAATGTTTATATACTGACATCCGAGTTACACCTCAGACAACTAATAAAGTTACTAACTGTCTGAGGTTACACACACTGGTCACACCCGGCGCGAAGTTGCGATAACGGCTCGCATAACTTTCAGTCTCACGTTTATGACGCAATGCCGATGATAATGTGTGGGAAAGCTGGCGTGACCCGGGCCTTGGCCTATAAATAAAGCATGGCAGTCAGAATGGTGTGACTCAAGTCAGCCTGAGTGTGCCGGGCAAAGACGGAAAGTTCTCGTATCTACCCTTCTATCAGCAATTTTTCATTAACACTTAACGCAATCCTAGAAAGAAGGATTGTTTTTACAAATAAAAAAATCAGAAGAAAAAGAACATTGAGAGAAAAGCAAACACACAAATCCGAAAGAAAGAAAATATGCGATATCGTAACAAGACAGGAAGTAGTCCCAGTTTAAATCCAGGGTCCGTGGAAGGATGCCAGCGGTGACAGTTATGTACTATGCATTCACACGCCGAGAAACGCAAAATTGAAAAGAGGCGCCGGAATTTAAATTTTTCGCATTTCTCATATTGATATATTGATTTATCACATTTGTATATTTATTGAATACATTATCATTATTTCTACAATTATGTAGCAAGATATTGAGCAAACGATGTGTGTATTGGATTAGTTAGTGTATTATTAGAATAGTAATAAATACAATACATTGTTGCTTCTTAACGAACGCACTGCGTTGCAATATATGGGAGTACAACTGTACTATAAAATGACAAAACACCCGGCAAAGCATCCTACAAGATTTGGTCCTTTGTATAGGGTTTGGTTGGTTCCATAATGAAGTAATGTAGAGTACTTTATTTTCACTTCGAATTTATTTTCGCTGAAATGAAGGAATGATTCAGTGAAAATAAATCCAGCGAATATACATTTTTTCCCTATATTTTACATTAAACTTGTCAAAAATCAGTGAAAATAAATTCCACACAAAACACCAAAAACGTCTTTTCAGCGAAAATTAATTCCAGCTAAGTAATTCGTATTGTCCCACACTCCCAGTTTCTTGGAAATTTAGGCATTGCTGTAGTTACATGTATTTTAGAGAATTTAGCCTGGCCAGTTTTAGACTGATTTTGTTCATCATTGTTGCCAAAAATTGACGTTTACCAAAAACAAGAAATATTTGAAGCAGGTACATTAATTTTCATACATTTATTATTTAGTTTATTTGAAATTTCATTCAAATTAAAATATTCTTTTACCAAATACTAGTATACCCAAATCAGAGAAGGGATGATTTTCAAAAAGTGTTGATTGTAGTAATCAAGGAAATGATGTTCATTTTATGCAAACTAATATACAAATTTACTCATAAATTATGAAACAATCAATTACTTTAATTGCGAGAAACTAAAAGTCATACAAAGTCTGCAACTACTGTTTATTCTGAATGTAAACATGCCAAACAAAGCACGAATATGTTTTTGACACTGAGAAAAAACAATCAATTCTAAAATACTCACCATGAAACCATGGAACTATAGTTCCATGATGAAACATACTAAAATAACAAAAATAGCAAATCGCATCTATTGTGTCTCCATGGTAACCGAAACCTGGTCTTTCCAAAAATATAATCGATATTTTGTCAGTGTCTGAAGGACAAACTCTTCTAAAAAACAAGTAAATTTGTTCATAAGCTGCTATCTGACAATGAATGATCATTGAAAACATTCCCCTTTCCATGGCAAAAAAGTTTCAAACCTCCAATTTAATCAGGTTATCCTTGCATAAAGGCACACTCCAGGGGATCTCTGATCCAGGGCGACACCTGGAAATGTTACGAAAATTCGTCCATAACCGTTGATGATAAATCACTGTGTGTATTTTTTTTAGTTACCTTGCTGACAAACAGATGAGCAAACAAATCAACTAACCAATTCAATGCCAACAAAAAAACATAATATTTTCATTGGTGGAGGTAATTGTCATTATATAAAAACATGCCAAATAGACATTGTTTTTTAATTTTGTTGGTATTTAAAAAAAAACACCGTTAATCATGAGTTAAACTCATGGTCGGAGCTAGAAGATACATTTGATACTTACAGGTTCCTATAGAGCATGGTTACTAGTATCATGGAACTTATAGTTCCATGCTAGTATATACTAGTATGTCGTATGGGACTCATATCATGGACACGGTGCGTCGCCCGCTGCGCTTTGGAAGAATGTCGATTACACATTGCAACTTGGTTACAAAATGAGAGCTGAAAAAGATATATAGTTTCTTCTTCAAGTCGACGCCTTCTCTGAACCCCCCTCTCTACCACCACCACCGAGAAGCGAGAAAAGGAGTATAATCCCTCGGGGTTATTTCGGGGTTATAGACGAGTCTGGAAAACGGCTTCACAGTGCGTGACAGGGGTTGTCGTCAAAGAAAATGTTAAAACAAATATAGTTTCCAATAGTTAGCTAACTGAACACCCGTAACGAATGATATTCAAGTTATTTTCGAGTTATCTGTAAAATGGTGGTTTTCAAACTCGGGTACAAGAGAATTTGAGTTTGTTTGTGTTAATAAGTTATTTCCTTTTTGTAAAACAAACACACTACTGTTGTTTCGCTGTGATTGTGAAAACGGCTTCCCTGGGCCTGTAAATATTTAAAAGACAGGCTTATTTATTGGACATGGGCCAATTTTAATTTCCGTAAACACAATTGCTTCCTTAAATGCAAGAGATAGTGGTAGACACGAAAATGGCGACACTTGTGTAAACACTAGTACATTGTAAATAGTGTGTGCTCATCGACCCCTCCAATGATGGATAGCAACGTAATCTTACAACCCCGTAACATTTGTTGATTACTAGGTCAACGTGGGTCAATTACAGCGCCTCATTTGCATAACAATCTTTGAATTTTATGTATCCATCCACGCCCGCGTAAATGACGTGAGTCGCAATAAAATAGTGCAACTGAATTCAAAGTTTAAATACAGAATCGGAACGAATTTGAATATAAATCATGTTGGAATTGAATATGTTTTGTTCAGAACTGGAACAGAAACATCATAAATCAATTAGATTTATTAAATACTTCCAAAATGCGTGATTGTTAATGCTGTTAAATGATGGAGATTACGAAGTTTCACAATATTTGAAAAAGTGTACTTTTCATTGGTAATCATACAATTAGAAATGAGTCGTCAGATAAATTGAATATTAAAACATAATATAATTTAAAAAATTAGTTTTTTTTTTTTTTTAATAATTCAGAATAGAATGGTGAACTTCATAAGTGTGCTTATTTCTCCCAGAATTCTTTAAAAAAATAGCCAAATCATATAACAAATCAGTATCCTGTTCATTTGTTGTGGCTTTCCCTGGGGGTTGTCCTCGGTGCGGAGTGATACACTGTAGGATCCTCGTGATTGTTACCGGGATATCCGTCTAGCCTCGGTCTGGGGCGTGGTATGGATCCAACTCTACTGACGTCATTACAATACATGGTTTTTGTCTTCGGTAAAACCGTCGAATTTCCACTAATTTCGAGCCGAAACATAACTGGCGTTTTCAACAGAAGACATTTGGAATGTCAAGTTCTTGAAAATCTACGCCTATTGGGTGTGTAACGATAGGATACTCGACACATTGACGGGGAATTCCCAGTGCGTAGCTGCATGTCGTAGCTATGCCACGTCAAAAACAATCCAAACCTAAACGTCTCGAAGGTAGGTCATTTTTCACTCTTTTCCACCCTTTTAAAAGTCCACCTGTGATAGAAACATTTTCGGACATTCAAAAACCGTACCACTGTACCTTTTTTAGATGCCAATGTCGGGCATTTGTTGGGTAAAATTGGGTGAAAACACGAGGAATTTCGGGGAAACACCTCGCTCGGTGTCGTTGGGGTTCCCTCATTATATATTCACAGTTTTTATCTACCAGCTTTCGACAAATTGTGGCCAAAGTGCAGGGTCTCGTGCCGTAATTTCAGTTAATACGACTCAGTTTATAACCCCGTTGCAAGAGTTTATTATTTTCAGCACGCTGCATTGCCCAAATTCAGCGGCGTAAGGGGAAATCACCAACAGAAATTCGTTGGCCGATTCGGGAAAGCCTTTTTATAAAAAGCCATGCAGGACATACCATTTTACATATCAATGGCGGGGGGCACACCATGCTTAATGGAGGGACATAGTGACGCAGCAATGTTTTCATTTTCTTCAGCGTTTTACAGTAAACACGAGCCTAATTTCAAAGTAATCAAATTAGAAGTACTGAAGTACAGTTATTCAGTCCCAGAAACAAATGTATGCCGCTTATTAGGCTGTTTTGAGAGAAAACGCTTTCGTGATTCGAACTGGGTTTGTTTTGCAATGTTTGGACCTGCGCGTTGCACATACATTACTCATTTCTATAGAAAAGCCCCAAACGGAAATTAATCATCCCCTGAAATATTTTACCTTAAAAAACGAATCTATTTTTGAAGTGATTCGAATAGATTTAATGGCTTACAGTTTTGTAAATACAGATGCATATTATTTGTTTAATGTTTACGTGCAAGACTGGTCTATACAGTGTGAAGAGCAAGTCTTTAAGTTACCGGGCGGACGAGTTTATTTTTGTACTAATATTCTACTTTATACGTGAAATATCGGCCAGACGCCTACGTAGTTGATAAATTACATCTCATTTATTTTTAAAATTAAACTTCTCTTCCGTCTTGCGAGCGTTATCTTATTCTAGGTCACCGCGTTGTTGTTTTGGAAGTACGCGGGGGTGTACATTCAATGGCTGCCATGTTGCACACAAGGAGGCAGAGAGAATCCCGGTTTGTCACCTGTCAATCTACGTTCAGCGGCTTTTTTGTAATGGCCCGCCCACATCCAGACATACTGAGGGAATCCCATATTCCGCATAACTACTACAGATTGTTTGAATGCCTTTCCACGTTTATGTATGGTTCCACCAAGAAAAAAAATATTGCATTTCTGTTATTGTGTCAGTCAGGGTGGCACCATACATGTATTTAAAATGTTACTTTGGTCCCCTCCAAAAAAAAAAAACACGATGAAAGTCCTTGAAAATTTGTATGCATTATTAATTTAGTTTAAATTTAAATAATATTAACAGAGTTGGTGTAGTATTAAGGGTGCATAATAGTCTTGTCATTAACACCATTTTAATTGCATAAAACATGAGTGCAATACTTAAGATAAGATTTGGGGGTAGGTTAGGAGTAATATACATGTATTGCATGGGGGTTCATTTGTGGTTTGAAATATTGTCAAAATAATAATTACTTACCAGTGTAACAAACTCCACACCCTTGTTGTACACAAACTATGCCTATTTAACTACTAGTATATTTCAATCACAAAGTTGAAATTTATTCTTCTATAACAACATTTATAATATAATTTTGTTTTGTTTAGTCTAGATTTCTCCATTATGACCTAATAATTAGCCTAGACAAAAAAAATGTTTTTTGCCACCTATTATGTTGCTGTAACTTGCTATTCAAAAATGACTTCACCAGATGCTGTGATTCATGTGAAAATACTGTTTTTCTTCACACGAATGCTGATTTTGGCAAAAACCTTTCAACCTTGCATGCACGATCACATACAAATAAGCTTGTAGCTGCTGTTACTAAAATATAGTGTGAACTGAGTGCGTGAATCCAAATGATAGAACAGCCACTTAAACCTATACAGTAGTATCAGTAGTATACATTTGTATGTACATTCGTATGCAAATCATGTACAATGAAGACACTCCAGGTATGATGACTTCTAAATTCTGGTGGTTTCAAATTCCCAGATGATTAAGTAATATTGTCTGATTATTGTCATTTTATGGCAGTCCTTGAAATAATATTTGCCAGACTTTATTCATTCGTGTTGAATTCATCAAACATTCAGCTGACTGTAATTTAAATAGTATCATACTGACCTGCTTTCTAGCGGTATAAATTTAGCTGAAAATTAATACATGTTACCATGGCAACACTGTTGCTAGTTAAGTATGTCTCCTCCTGTTCATTGTAATACATGGAATTAATTTTCATTTTAACTGGTTTGTATTAAGTTTATTTTCACTGATTTTTGATGAGTTGAATTTAAAATATAGAAAAATACTGTAGAATACTTTATTTTCGCTTGGAATTTATTTTCACTATTTTCGCTGAAGGGATGATTCCGTAAAAATAAAATCCAGAGAATATACTTTTTTTCCTATATTTCACATTCACCTCGTCAAAAATCAGTGAAAATAAATTCCATAAAGAACGCCCATAAAGGCAGCAAAAATAATGTATTCCACAGTAAGTATTTTCACTGGATTTTATCTTCACTGATTCATCTTTCTCTATCAAAAATAAAGTAGTACAAGCATATACAGTACTCTATTTATCTTGCCTGAAACACCCTGGCATAAGGTATTCTGGATTGCTGTCTGTTCTCACCATTGGTGTTAGTGTCAGTTTCATGAACTTATATTTGCAAATATAAAAAAATATACTATTCTAGAATTTATCTTCTTAGGCCGTAGAGCTAAAAAAAGAGCTCCACTATTTTTCATTTTTATTTTGCATACTATAATTCCAAGTAAGTGTCTGTCCTCACATCTGTTGTCTTTGTCGTCCACATCGTAAACATGTCACATGTATGTTTACAATAAAGTTTTGGTAAAATGGTTGTGTAGCAGTTTCAAACTTTTAAACATGCATGTGTTTGTTTGTGGAAATCTTGAGCTTCAATTATTCTTTCTACTGAGTAGGACCTATATTTCCTGTTACAAATATTTTTTTCTGATTTAGTCTGATTAACAGGTCTGTGTGTTCGATTGGGGGATCACCAACTATCCAAATTATTTTTGCATAACATAGCATTAGTCTTGGTCGAAAAACGCCAAGTAAAACTAAAAACCAAAATAACAATAAATAAAATGTGGAAAAAAATCACTATAACATTCAATGTAATAGAGTTGGTTAACTTGTTCTATATCAGTGTTCTCCCCGGAAATTTAAACCACTGTGACGGTAAACATTATAAATATGCATAACAATTGCAATCATTTGCATAATTATTTCAAACAGAAATTGTTATGAGTAACATACTCAATTACATATTGCACAATATTATTCACTTACCCCAGTACAAAACTCTTATCGCATTAAGAGTATTACAACTTCACACAAGTTTTTAGCATTTTATCAATTTGATTTGAAAAAAGTCAGCAATGGCACAGTGGAAATAACCCACTGTGCCAGTTTGAATAATGACTGTGGCGGTGTCAGACCTAAGTGGTGGTTAAACAGAGCACTGTTGCATTACCACGCCTCTGAATCATTGTATGCCTTGCAGAAGACTGCATTTTTAATCAAATTACTTGGAGAACACTGAAGATGCTCCTAAGCTGTGAAAATATGGTCTAAATAATGTGTACTGTAAAATGAGTAATTTTCACTGG